ACCACCCCGACTTTCGGTGAGAGAAAGTCAGCGTTTGGACGCAGGGCAGTGGTGACGCCGCCCTGCATGTGAAAGTGGCTCCCTGCTAAAGGGTGGGCTGGTGCCATACCAGAGCGTGTTGAAACTTCGATCCAGCTGGACCAGCAGCCGTTGCTTTGTGCAGCTTGCACAGCCTAGGCGCCGCCTGCCAACCAGCTAGCGTAAGCCACCCTGAGCCGACGCGGTCTCGTAGATGAGAGTCGTCTCCCCTTGACCCTGCCTGCCTGTCGCACCGCCACTCTGCTGGTTGCTCAGCCCCACCCTACACATCTCACTGTTTCCCCCTCCCCGCCTCCTAGAGATGTGCGGATCATGGTCACAGCGCAGGAGGTGGGCGGACATCTGATGTTCATCTGATTGGCGCACATGCTGGATGTCTCTGCCCATCACGCCCCTCCACGGATTGCGCATTGCCGCAAAGCCGCAGCTGCGTTTGCCCCACCCTAACCCCCAACAAACCCCGCCCCTGCCTCTGGGTGCCTTGCTACTCGCCACTTTCACTCCCCCCCCCCCAGGCGCTGAGCGCCAGAGCCCCGTTCCTCCCCAGAGCCGCGGAGGGGCCCCCGCAGGAGGAGGCGGCGCGTGAGGGCGCACTGCTGGAACGCCAGTTCAGGTGTCATTTTTTGGGGGGGGGGCCTGGTGGGCAAGGCGAGGCCAGCGGGACCTGGGAATGAGCGTCGGGTGGGGCATGGCGGGGTGGGGAGCAGCCTGGTAGCCTCCTGGTTTGAATACCCGCGGTACGCTGGACGCGGCTCCCTGCATGACCAGCCCAGCTGGCTGCGAGGGGGAGCCCCGCCCGCTGCAAAGCCAGCTGCAAGTGGATCGTTCGCAGCCTTTGCTGCCGCAGCCAGCCGCATGCGACGACCTCTGCCTGATGCTGGACGCCAACCAAGGTCAACCGCCGCCGACCGAAACAACCTGTCCCGACAGGCTGCTAAGAGAAGACTTGGTGGGGCCGCTCAGGCAGGAGCTGCAGCAGCTCGGCATCATCAAACAGCCCCACCCGCCCCCACACGCCGACGGCGCCCCCGCCGCCGCCGCGGCGCCCCGCCCGGCGGTCGGCGCCGCGGGGCGCGGGCGCAACTTGTATGGCCGGGTGCAGGTTCTTGGCGTCGCCCTCAAGCCGCGGCCCTGCGTGATGGTCAGCGCGGCGCTGCCGCCCGGCCACAGGGCGCTGCAGCACCGCACCGAGCAGGAGCGGCTCAGGTTCTGGCGAGAATTTGGGCACGGCACGCTCGCGTCGGACGCGCTTGTGTGCCTGGCGATGCCGCCGGCGGCGCAGGGTGGGCCGCCGCGGCTGGTGTTTGCCACGGTGGTGCGGCGGGACCCGGAAGACATGGCGATGGGGCCCGACCCCATGGTGAGCGGTTGGGCGGCGGTTGGGTGGCAGTTGGGTGGCAGTTGCGCGCCACCTGTTAGCTGCTTGAGCCAAATGTGTGTGCTTCATTGCAAGGGGCTAGAATTGCTGTTGAAGCTTCAGGTTGATTGGCACACCACCGCGCGCGTCACAATAGTTTCAATGCATCCCTTTCTGGCCCCCGCCCGCCGAGTTGACTGTGCATCCTCGCACTCTGTGTGTGCACCCTCGCTTGGCCAGGTTGGTCTGGCATTTGAGCCGGGCCCGGATGTGGAGAGTGTGCTGCAGCATATGGGAGAGGGGCCACTGCCCGGGACAGTGCTCGTGCAGGTGGGCTGACTGTAATCAATGGATATGCAATGTATCGTTGTGATACGGATACAAGCACCGGCCTTGTCCGGTGTTGAGATGCAGGGCAGGGGTGGCGCGCAAGGCTCTCCTGGAGCGCATGCTGCGTGGCCTGCTGATTCTGGTCAAAATCCTATCCTCAATTTGTCACACAGCCCAGGCCAATCCCGTCGCCCGCGCACGGTCCGCAACAACATCCTGCAACAGCATACCTCCACCAGTCATACTTCAGCACGTCCAAACCTTTCGAACCATCGCCACCACCACCATGAACCCCCACCCGCAATCACTGCACCAACTGCCCGTAATCCCTCGTCCCGCAGGCGTCCTCCAACTTCCTGAGCTCCAAGCCCGTGCTGCGCTGCCTGCAGTCCCTGCCGGGGGTGCCCCTCGCGCCGGAGCTGGTGCACGCGCGGCCGCCGGCCGCCGTTGACTACCTCCCCCCGGCGTCAGTGGAGCAGGTGGGCTGGGATGAGGTTTGTGGATGCAGGGAGCGCAGGTGTCACCAGCGCTGAGTGTGCGACGCTTCGAGTGCGGCATTGGCGGGACCCTAGCTTTGTTGTGGCTGCCCTGGCCCTGATCAGTTCATCGTAACGCACTTGGGTGGACGCCGCATTCCTGGCGCCACAGGTCTATGCATGGATGCCTGGGGTTGTTGCAGCAGTGCGCGTTGCTTATTTCACGCGTGTCAGCGTGCGTGTCTCCCCCAATGCCGCAGGCGCTGCAGCAGCGCAGCACCCTGGACCCCAGCCAGCAGCAGGCCCTGACGCAGGCTCTCACCCAGCGCGTCGCCATCATCCAGGGGCCCCCAGGTGCGTCCTTTCGCATACGATTGGCGTTGACAACCATTGTCGTTCCAGCCGCGGCTTGTTGTGGGGGGGAGGTCTTTCTGCCAATCATTGGTAGCGGCCGTCCACACATTTGCATGCAGCTGCTGCTTGCAGCTTTGCAGGTCCGCCGCTCCCCCCACCCCAAAACCGACACGATCCCTCCTGCACCGACACCCTCCTTTGGCCGCGACCCCAACCGCCCCGCCTATGGCCGCGCAGGGACCGGGAAGACGTTTGTGGGAGTGGAGGCGTGCCTGGCCATCCTTGGCAGCAGCTCCCAGAAGATCATGTGCGTCACATACACCAACCACGCACTCGACCAGTTCCTGGAGGTGATGTTATTTCCTAGTGCCTGCCAGTTACCTGCAATTTGCAAACGCTTCCTTGTCCGACATGTGTAATGCATGTCGCGCAATGTTGGAAGGTCGAAATCACATCAAGGGAGGTCGGTGTGAGGGAGAGTGCTGTTGTGGGGCAGGGGCAGGCCTGCAACTGCGGTAATCGGTACAGGCAGCTGTTCGGGCGGCTCCACGCATGCCCCTTGCACCAACGCCGCGGCATCAACACGCGCACCGGTCTGACACCGTTCTGCACGGACCGTCCCTCCCTACCGCAGGCCCTCCTGGACCGCGGAGTGACGGACATCGTTCGTGTTGGCGGCCGCTCCAAGAGCGAACGCATGAAGCAGCTGCAGCTCAAAGAGATCGCCTCCGCCCCAGCATCTGCAGGCGCAGGCGGCAAGGCCTCAAACCTCGGCCAGGCTGAGCGACGGCGGCTGTGGCAGGTCCAGACGGAGCTGGATGGCCTGCAAGAGGAAGTGAAGGCGCTGACTGAGCGCCTCGCCGCGCTGGAGGATGCACCGCGGCCGCCGGCGCCGGGGTCGGGCCCGCTGCCCCAGGGCGGCAGCGGCCGCGGGGCCGGGGGCCGCAGCGGCAGGCAAGCGGCGCCGGCGCCGCCGCCGACGGCCGCGGAGCAGTGGCGGCGGCGGGCGGAGCTCGATGTACGCGGGGGCCGCGGG